CGACTTGAATTCAAACTCGGCTCTTCAATTCCTCAATCCAATTACCCTACCGTGCCTCTCTCTCTCTCTCTCTCTCTCTCTCTCTCTCTATATATATATATATATATATATATATATTCAGTCTAATTCATTACATTTACTTACGTGCTAATATCCCTGGGAAAGGTATGAATCCTCCACTTCACCCCACCAAGCTATGGTTAAATTGCAGGACAGATTGGGTTCTGTAGCCTTGGATGGCAACTCGTCTACTGCAGAAAAATCTACCTTGTCTGTCATATATCTAAAGATGAACTACCTGACATATATATATATATATATATATATATATATATATATATATATATATATATATATATATATATATATATATATATATGTATGACTGATTGATAAATTACAATCATTATGTCTGCTTATTTTATCATAATCCTTTCATATTCCCGAATACTTTTTTTTTTTTACAAATGAATGTGACAAAAAATGCGCTGTAATACTGAGAATCACTTTAATTTCCCAAGTACCTTCCATCTCCTGATTCTCATTGTTTCAGTGCATTTCTGTGTATGCGTATTTTAATCGAGCTCGGCCCAAGCAAGGCAATAAAGCGACTAAGACACAGGTGATTTGCTGAGCGTGGAAGAATTAGAAACAGAAGCCATTACAAAGTTGTGAGAACAAAAGAAGATTAAACAGAAGGACAGTAGATATCGATTGATATTGCATTTAAATTTTTGAAGATTAATGTTTTCTGGAATGAATGGAACTGGAACGGAGTTGTACAAGCGAGAAGTGCAGAAAAGAAACTGCTAGCATAGAAATTATGGTTACATCGAACCAACTGATGTTATCTCGATGCCAGTCAAGTACTACGCATAATTTTATTTGAATTATTTAATATATATATATATATATATATATATATATATATATATATATATATATATTAAGAAATGGACAAAGTCCGACAATTTATTTTATTAAAGACATTTTTATATAAAAAGAACGTTAAACATAAAATGTCTTTAATAAAATATATATATATATATATATATATATATATATATATATATATATATATATATATATATATATATCAAGTAGAGAAATCATTTTCAATAAAAATAGTTCTCTTAAATCCCTGTGGTGCAAAAAGATTACGTATTACACTTAACTGGGTATATAATGCTAGACCCACCTTTTTCAGTTGCGTTCTCTTCGTCTGAAGATAACGAAATCATGAAACTCGAGTAACTAACCGTCCTGACCTTTGTTAAGTTTTGACGTTGTAAAGCATTTTGTACTCTGTCTGGAGATAATCTGGGTGTTGAACACTTAACTACGTCAGTAGGTCTTCATTTGTTCAGGATTGTTAGCTCATCTGGCAAATTGGCAATCTAACATCGGTAGTATATATATATATATATATATATATATATATATATATATATATATATATATATATATCCATTTCAAGTTGAGAAATCACTCGATATTTATCCGGGATGCAGTTCATGTCACACACCCTAATTCTGTATCCCTCTACTTGAGTGCCTCTTGACCCTGTTATTTCTTAAATATTAATGAGTACACACCACACCCACACACACATATATATATATATATATATATATATTAAATTGCATTAAATAATTATTATAACCAAAGTTCGTTGTCAAGTTTTTTGAATTCTCGTATACTTGTATTTTGATTAGTCATTCCAGCTTATGTAACAGCGTTTCCCCTAGCGAGGGGTGTTTGATTGATTTGAACCTTTTAAAATCCTTTATTCTACATTCAACACCATCAATTGGTAAGACACCAGGAGTGTTGAAATAAAATGGCTATTTTTGTAGTGATTTTATAACATATTTATGTTATAATATTTCGAATAAATAATTATATTTGCTCTACTCTGTATTGAGCAATCTATATATTAATGTATATTTAGGCAGCATATTTTCATTCAAACAAGTTTTGTTAAATAATTTAGGCATATCATTTCAAAGTTCACGTGTTTCTTTTTCCAGTCTAAAGGAAGTAATTTTCCCATTTTTTCTCATCTAGAACTCTGCATAAGCAATAAAAACGAACAATTGAAATGTTTTGAATTTACAAAAACTCATATACATATTCACAGTCAACTTAACGCACTGAAGATGGTCTCAGATGAGATTGAAAGTACTTGGTCAAATAAAAACTATTTGAAAGAACATTTTGGTATGTTTCTTAATCAATTTTCTAAGGCTACCAAGAAATTAATCCGTGAACTCGAAAGGAACGCAACAGAGGCCCGTTGGAACTGTTCGTATGACGTTTGCCTGTTACCGTAATTGTCCGGGTTTCAGTTTTCGGTAGTGGATGCACACTGCTGATGAGTCCCAAATATAGGACGATACGACCGTCCAGTGCTTTCTACATTCAGTTGAGGTTTCTTTTAGGCTCGATGAATTAATTATAATGTTTGTGTATGTGCTAATATTCGAAACATTGTTTTTTGTTAGTAGGCATGTTCAACTGGTCGTCCTAAATATTTTGAAACAGTGTTCATTTCATCTACTGGCCAACACATTACATTCGAGAAACTTAATAAAGAAAACGATCTGGCATAGCTAACCAGTCTAAGGTAGACAATTGTTTTTCCCACAAAGGAGGAGACGTAAGTTCGAAACCTATCGGAGAGCACTATCACTTTATTAAGTCTCTCAAATGCGCAAGCCTGTAGACGTAACTCCCTGTTAAAAAAAATCAGGGCGTCTACTCAAACATGGGTATCCATAAAAATAATGTTTCAAGTAAGAGGAAATAATGCCGGCTCCCAAAAGTGATTCGATATATATATATATATATATATATATATATATATATATATATATATATTCAAACAAGTTTGGTTAAATAATTTCGACATATCATGTTTTCATTGTGATCCTTTCAAGTTCGCAGATTAATTTTTTGGTAGACTGAATAAGAAAAATTGAATAAGAAAAATACCAACATAGTTTTATTTTTCTCAAGCATTTTGAATATATATATATATATATATATATATATATATATATATATATATATATATATAATTTCATCATATAGACAAAACCATTTTACTCACTACAAAAGATGCAACTTGGTTTCAGTGCATTTCAACTGCACTTCGACGGGTGAGAATCGAAAATGGTTATGAACAATCCTTCTTGTAGGCAAGCCGTATGTGAAAATGAAATGTCACTTCCTTTTTTCCATTTGTTTGAGAAGAAAAATATACAAAAAAATAGGTGACGGAGTGGAACAATGTTGCTTGTTGATAGCAGTTTGGTGAAGAATGGATTGGGTGTTTAATGTTGACTGGTCTGTGGAAATTTTCCTGCTGATAAACACAGGTCAAAAGTCCAGGCACATCATTTCACAAGCGTCCTAAGAGTGAGAGGTAGGGGAGGAAAGATGGAGATAGAGGATAGTATTACATTTAAGTAGGTAAAAATTGTAGCAATACTTCTAGTAGTAATTGGGAATGTTATTTTTTGGTTTACAATAAAAATTCTAGAGCTGAATTGCGTGTATTTATGTTGGGGTTATCATTACTAATTCTGTAATCAATGAACGTGTTCTGTGGATTTAAATTCAGAAGTGGTGATTTCCTCTAAAAATATAAGGGATGTTAATATAACATTTTATAATCAAATTTTGAAATATTCCTGGACCGTATAGCGTGTAGAATAAGTATGGTTGTAAAACGATTTATCTGAAAATATTAGCAGTAATATATATGAAAAAAAAAGAAGTAAGAATTATATTTTAATTAGTGGAGAGGTACATAAGAGGTTAGGGAATATATCAAAGGAGGTGATTTATCATTTTAAAACGCTTATAGTTATAGAATTAAGAATTTAACAAGATTGTAGTGTTAGATCCTTAGTATGTCTACAGAAAACGGTGGTTTCATATCTTTGATTTAATAATGGGTGTTATTCAAAAGTTCAATGATACATATTTTATTCTGTAAACATAAGCACGGTTCGTTCAGAGAATTGCAGGTTCTGGCTTGTCTTAGGATTTTCCATTTAACCTTAGGTGTTTTTCCTTGAGTTTCCAAAAATATTTCGAAAGTGATGTCATATTTCGTTTGGCCGTATTTGTAAAGGAGTTCCTGTGATTGTAATACCTATCCTTAAAAGGTCTGCTAGTTGACCCCACATACATCCTAATATCTCTGGGGTTCTCATTTGATGAGATATAGCACATATACACTATGGATTTGGTTAAGCACCTGTTTAATGATGGACATTGATCGGGGATTCTACAATTACATAGCTTTTTTCCTGGGGTGTATTAGAACTTGTATTTAGGTTGCGTTTAATATCTCTATGATTGGAATTAGGGTTTATATAAATGGGGTTAGCGTTATTTTTCAAAAAAGGGTTGGAAATTATTTAAGGTTAAGTTTAAGGTTACATCTAAGAAGTCTAAGGTTGAAGTCAACAAATCTTGTTTGCGTCAACTTTCAACTCACTATGAACATTTGCTATAGAAATAGCGAGATAGTAGCGATCGGCTTGCAACGTTGAGTCTCTGTGGAAAGAGGCTGTAGGCTGGAAAACAAATATTGACCGACAAAATAGCATAAACGATTTTAAACTTTATGAAAGTTGGAAAATAAGTATGAAGCAGTTCGAAATTCGACATAGCAGCACTAGGTCATATTCGGTCTAATCCGATTCTTGTAATGATAGAATATAGCAGGAGTCAGTAGAGTGCCATAATGACCTGACCATTTCTTATGATTGATTAAGTCATTTCAGGTTATTTTAAGCCAAAAGATATTTTTAGATTGTAAGAAAAGTTTTACTAATTAACCCATAGCTGGGGGAGAAGAAGTGGATCCATGCCTTTCCCAAGGGTATTTACACGTAAATAAATATAACGGGCCCAACTGGAATTGAAACTCGGCTCTCTATTTAACAATTCAGAGCCATTATCCAGCACACCACCCGCATATCCAGGCTGACAGCACCTGGTATGCCCAAGCGGTCACCCATTTAGGCACTGACCTAACTCAACGTTGCATAACTTCGGTGATCATACGGGAACCGGTACCATTTTTCAAGCATTGTTAACAAGGATTTGTATGGATGAATTCGACGTGAGATCTGCTGTGAACTCGGGTTCAAATCGTCATTTACAGCATGGTGCCTGGAAACCATACAACGTTTTGAATCAAATGAATAAAATTATGTAGACGAAATTGTTTAGAAACCATTGATGGCTGAGCTAGCACGAAGTAACAAGTTATTGTGACCGAGAGTTTAAACCTTGTTCAACTATTGATCACGCCAGATTATTCGCTCTTTCCCAGAATTTGTAATTAAGGTTTGCTCGGAATACTTGTTGGTCGCTCGTTCCTGAGTAAATCCGTCTGCTAGGACCGACTAGCTAATTTTTGTTGAAGATGCCTGACACATTTGTGTTTGTTTAACATCCACAGATCAAACCTGTGATTTATACTCCAACTATGGTAAGCGAACCTTAGTTACAATTTCTCGGAAAGAGCAAAATCTGGTGTGATCTACAATTTGAAGACGGCCGTTACGTACAAACCCTCAGTCAGAATCAGTCTGTCCAGTCAACTTCATTCATAAGATTTGAGTCAACTCATGGTATGGCTTTCAGATATTTTTCAAAATGAGATCGCTGTAGCCGTCACGCCAAAAAGGACCCACTGGAACAGGGCAGTCGTCTCTCGAACAGGCCAAGTCGGCTCTCGAACAGGCCAGCCGTCTCTCGGACAGGGCAGTCGGCTCTCGGCTCTCGGACAGGCCAAGTCATCTCTCGGACAGGGCAAGTCGTCTCTCGGACAGGGCAGTCGTCTCTCGAACAGGCCAAGTCGTCTCGGACAGGACAGTCGGCTCTCGAACAGGCTAAGTCGTCTCGGACAGGGCAGTCATCTCTCGAACAGGGCAGTCATCTCCCGAACAGGCCAAGTCGGCTCTCGGACAGGCCAAGTCGGCTCTCGGACAGGCCAAGTCGTCTCTCGGACAGACCAAGTCGGCTCTCGAACAGGCCAGTCGTCCTCGTCGGCTCCCTCGACCTCACCACTGTCAAAGCCTTCAGACACATTCTTTTTAGACCATGACGAAGCAGCTGATTGGTTGAGTGGGAGAGTTTTACTTATGCGCAGGCGTACTCCGCCAATTCTCCTTTCCTCCAACTACTCTGCGACACCATACGCATGCAATGCGTAAACGTTTTCGGCTATGATGTCGCGTATCTTGCTCATGACAATCACAATCGCTTCCCGGCATTTTGGCTCGAGAAAGTTCGAATATTCTTAAGCCCAAGCCGCAGTGGGGTCTTTCCCCAAGCGGTACCTCTCCTTCAGTAGGGGGCTGGGATTATTGCCCATCGCCTAAAGCGTCTCCAAAAGGGAATTGCCGAGGAGGCTAGGGAATTATTTTTCACGGTATTGCAGTTAAACCCACTTTAAACCCTCGACCATGTGTCAAATTCGGTAGCGACGTGGGCGCGCTGAAAAATAAACGCTTCCCTAGGCCGATAAAATTAAAAAAAAAAGTATCTTCATCCATGTTGCAATTATGAACCCGGGTCTCATGGTCGGAAAGCTCCGTCTATCTGCAGGACGAACCACAGGTTTGTCTTGGAGTAGTTGAAAAAATACAAATGTGCCTGCGTAGGTGGTATATAAACATGGAAATATACTAGAACCACCCACAAGTTCATGTTAATTGAATATTGCAATATTTAAGCGCATGTTTTCGTTGTTGGTTTAATTTTAATCACGTCACGATCTTCTGAAATGAGTTGATACGAAGGCAACGTCACGATTGTAAAGGAGGGGAGAAATTATGTCGAAAAAGTTAGAGTGCAGAGGAGAAGTCTCCAGGGACATTAATCGCTTTGTGTTGTTCATCCGGAAGTTGTTAAATTTTTCGGCTGAAAAGAAATTAAGTCGGTTATTAGTACAGGCGTCACTAGTCACGTGGCACGTCGAGAGGAGAGTGAGGGGGTGGTCTATCAGCATTTGTGCATATGTACACATACGCACACTTACGCTAGCACAGACCTACGCTCTCACTCACATAAACATACCTAGACCTCACCCACATACACGCATACTGTAGATAGACGCACGAGCACGTGCTCACGGAACTATTTCATATGCTGGTTTCGAATGTGAATCAAGGGAATTGTCTCAGAATAATAATAATAATAATAATAATAAGATTATGATGATGATGATGAAGAGTAGATAGAAAAGCTACATATAACAACAACAACAACAATAATAATAAAAATAATAAAAATAATAATAAGGCAGGTATAAGACGAGACGAAAAACAACAGATAGATGAAGAAGAAAAAGAAGGAAAAGACAAATACAAGAAAAAATAATATAGAATTCTTAGACAGATAAGAGATAGAAAATGAAGGAAAGCTAGCCAGAGAAAAATAATAATAAAATAGAAGAAGAAGAAGAAAAAGAAGAAGAAGAAGCAGAAGAAGAAGAAGAAGAAGAAGCAGAAGAAAAAGAAGAAGAAGAAGAAGCAGAAGAAAAAGAAGAAGAAGAAGAAGCAGAAGAAGAA